AGCCTTAAATTCCTTCCAACGGTCAGGTCTCTACATCGATGTTCCATACTAGAACATCGTTGTTTAGGTCTGCCTTTGAAGATGGAAGTTTGGCCTGACACCGCTGTTTCTGGGTCAACATCGCTGTCCAAAAACTTTCGGCCAATGCACAATATCTTTGGCTTAGGTTGGACAGCGCTGTAGGGAAGCCTACATCGCTGTTCCAGAAGTTTCTGGAAATCCAACCTTGGCTCAACAGCGATGTCTAATGTCCAACATCGCTGTTGGAGGACTTAACGCCAAACCATGTTTTTAGCTACCCAAGCCAGACAGCGCCGTTGGTTACCTCAACATCGTTGTTGGGCTGGTTTAGCCAAACCCGTGGTTGGTTTAGTCACGCCGTTAGCCGATGTCAAAAACACAAGTTCTCCAAAGTAAAAACCAAGTATTGAAAACATTTGTTTATTGCATTTTGCTAAGAAATCAAGTAAAACATTTTAAAAACCACGTCATTTAGTTGAAAACCACGGCTAGCCAAGTTTACGCCGTTTCGCATGGTTTTCATTAAGCGACCAAAACGAAAGGTGGTTTTTGAAGCGTTTTTGTTGGAGAACTATTTAAATATGCCCAGAAGTAAAAACTAATCATTAAAAGTTGAAAACCACTTGGTCGGTTCGAACGCCAAAAACCAACGCCGATAACCGAAAGCCGAACGCCGGTTTCCGAAGACCGAACGCCGAATGGCTTGGTTTTTGGTTTGGGCGAACTCCAAGTGTTTTCAGGCAGGTTTAAGACTTAAGAAAATCATTTTGAATATGCAAAAAATATTTTGATGAAATGAGCCTAGAGAGCCATGTTTTGAAGGTTTGTGCCGGTCTTGATCACATTAAAACCGACTCAATATAATTCTAAGTCTTCGTTCTTGATTCTTGGTTCTTGGTTCTCAGTTCATCATGCCATGTTCCTTCGCCTTGGTTTTGCTCAGTTTAACCTTGTTATTGTCACGGCGGTTTGGCATTATCAAAACCTGTCATAAAACGAACACGGCTTAGTACGACATAGGCGTAAACCCGTGTTCCAACAATGAACTCTTTATTGTTATCAAGAAACATTCTTTTTAATTATTTAATGGTATGCAGATTAAGGACTAAAGTGGATGTTTTACAAGAAAATGTTGCTAGAGCAAGAGATGTATTCAAAAATGGTATTGGGGGGACAAATAACTAAATTAGGCATGCTGAATGGACTATTAGAGAAATTTTAATTGTGTAAATATTAAATTATTGGATGTTATTTAGACTTGGATTGTATATATTTAGATATTATTCAATATATTCTACATTTTAGAATTTATTTTTGTTTCATGATCAATATTTTAGAATTGAAATAAATTTTATTTATTAAATATAAATGTAAATTGAAATATAGTAGTCTTTCAAATAGCTTTACAATGTATTAAAACATTTTCCTAAATCTTTAAAGGACAACTACACAAACCTGGACTGTTAATAAATGTTAGAAAATAGAAATAAACAGTTGTGTGAAATACAAGAAATATAGTTGTTTACATTTTACAAATACAACACAGAATAGCAGTTGTCTTATGCAAACATACATAGTTGTCTTCAGAGCAGTAGTCTGATTTCAATCCGACTACTATATACAAAGATAGTTTGAATATTTCAAGGACAACTACAAAAAAATGTAGTGTTATTGAGCACTATACAAGTGAAAGAAATGGTTGTTTAAAATACAACAAAATTAGTAGTCTACATTTTAGAAATATAACACGAGATAATAGTTGTCTGATGCTATTTTTGTTTAGTAGTCTTCCAAGCAGCAGTCTGATATATTTTTCAACTACTTTTGAAATTAGATGTCTATATTGTTGAACGATAACATCACGCAATAGGAGTCTGAAGTCGAAAGGAATAGTAATATTCTTTATAGATAGACAACAAAACATCAAAGTTGTCTTTAACTCTAGAAAACAAATGTCTTACTCATATGAGGACAACTTCAAAAACATGTACTCTGGAACATCACAAAATAGGTGTCGTCAACCGTATTACACAATTTTTTTAAACAGTAGTCAGTAAATATATCAGACAGCTGCTCGGAAGACTACTAAAACTAGTACAGTTAGACTACTAAAAAGAACAGTTGCCAGCATCTGTTTTGACGTAGTGAAACATGTTTTCCGCATGGTGTTTGAGTCCGACAAGCTAATCTAGAGTAAGAAGGGGGTATTCATAGGCTAAAGTTATGTTTCTGATCGAATTTTTAGGCCGAATGTACTCACTATTGTTGATAAAATTAATAAAAATCATGTTGCCTATGTGTCTGAGTCTTCCAATTTGTGGCATTGTAGACTAGGACATGTTAATTATACATCTTTTTAAAAATTAATTAACATGGAATATATCCCTAAGTTTGACTCTGACTTGCCCCAATAATGTGAGACATGTCACATGTTTGAAGCAAAGTGAAAACAAAGTTTGTTTCAAATGATTGAACGAACTGCAGAGCCACTAGATTTGATTATACGGATTATGTGTGATTTTAAATCAACACCATCAAGATGTGGTAACAAATATGTTATCACTTTTTTATGATAGCATAAAATACTGCTCTATTTATGTACTAAAAAGTAAAGACGAGGCATTGGATACTTTCATACAATATAAGAACGAAGTTGGGAACCAACTTAATCAAGAAAATTAAAGCTCTTAAGAGTGATAGGGGCAGGAAGTAGGAGGCTCCATTCACCGAGTTGTGTGCACAAGGAACGCCATACACACACCTGAGTTAAACAATGTGGTGGAGTTGAAAAAATGCACTCGTAAAGTTATGATGAATGCGATATTGGTCAGTTCGAGGCTACCCAAAAATATGTGGGGTGAGGCTATTTTATCTAGAAATTATTTTTTAAATAAAATACCTCGAAAAAAAACCGATAAGACTCCTTACTAGTTGTGGTTCAATAGAAAATCTTCCTATAAATACCCAAAAGTGTGGGGGTGCCTTGCAAAAGTTCTAGCACCACCACCAAAGAAAATGAATATTGGTCAGAATACCGTTCATGGAACCTTCATGGGCTAAAGTGCACCAAATACCCTTGAACAATTTAAAACGTTGTACCGTTGGTACTAAAATGCTAGATACTGAGTATGTTGCTCCTATGCACGGGAATTGCGCATGTGATTAATCTGGCCCTTGTGGATTCTCCAAAGTTCCCTCCTCCAAATTATCATCTTTATTTAAATATTCAGGCGTAAATCATGCAAAGGTATTTGGTGCACTTTTTACTATTTAGGGGTAAATCGTGCATTTTTTGCAAAATTTAGAGGTATTTGGTGTGTTTTTTAATGTTCAGGAGTAAACCATGTAATTTACAAAGAATGCAGGAGTAAACAGTGCACTTTTCTTAAAAAAATAACAAATCTGGACTTTGATTAAATCCACTTTTATAAGAAGAATTTCCAAGCAGCGCTAATGGATTATAATTCAAAAGAAAAAAGACAAAAATAGGAGTGAAACATTGAAAACATACCAAAATATGACTTCCATGTTTTTATTCCCGAAATAAGAGTTAAAATGCATTAACATTACCAAACTTGGTCATGTACATTACCAAAAAGTATAGTAATGTGCACATGTATAGTGCCCATTATCACAATGTGAAGTCCTATTTCGAGAATAAAAGCATAAAAGTCCTATTTTGAGACTTTTCTCTATGTTTTAGTCCTATTTAGGGTGATTTCTATAATGAAAATCCTTCAATATTTAGAAACTTATTTGTTAAATCCAAGGCATCCCCAAGTGACATGAAATATTGGATACTTGAAAGCAACTCCAAATTAGCTCATGCTTGTGTGTGGAGTTATATATTACAGCATAAGAACCAAAAATGCCAAAAAAAAATAAAGTAAAATCCAACCATATCTTTAATACTCGATTTATTCCATTAATTAATATGCCCCAATTTTTTTTAATTAATACCCAAACACCACTCTGCAAATTTCCACATATGAAAGTGGTGGCGGATGGATTGCTCCTACTCCCCCAATTTGTTTCTTTTTACACCATCTAACCCAGAATTGTTTTTATATTCTTTTCGTTTCTTGAAAGCTTTCTTGTTTTAACTTTTTTTGTCAAAGTTAACACAATTTGACCGCAAATTGTGAGCACTAATAGAGTTTAGTATTTGAATTTTTAATGATCACCAATATAATGTGTCAGTTTGAAGATTTTTAACTACAGATCGAGTGTATAATTATGCATATATAAATATTTTAACAATTTTAAAAATTTGATACTCCCTCCGTCCCAAATTATTTGAAACGTTTGTTTTTTCAGCAGTTGCGAGAACTTTTGTTTATTTCTACGTTTTTATTAGTTATTTGATAAAATAAAATATTCTTGACACCTCTTATTTCGAAGAACTTTTCATGTAATTTTTTGATATGTAAATTTTATTCTTTATTTCTATACCAATATATAAATAAAATGAATTGAAAAAACTTGATATTTGCCTCGGGAATACAAGTGTGGCAAAGACGGAGGGAATATATTTAAACTAGTACCTCCATCCCACATTACATTTAAGTTGGAAAAAGGTGGGTTTTAAAATTGTGTAATTTGATGATATTTTCTATTTTGTCTTAACTTTATAATAGAGTATGCTATGATGTACAGTATAAAATAAAAAAATCAGAAAATAGAAAACAATATATACTAAAATTATACATATATTTAATGTCCGTCTTCTGCCAAACCGGAAATGTTTTGTGAGGAGAAGGAAGTAAATCTTAAAATGAACTCAATAAATTATACGAAGTATATTTTATACAAATGGCGATCAAACTTGTAAATTTTGACAAAGAAAAATTTGTTTTTAATTTGTAAAAAGGGTTACCTTTTTCTTTAATTCCACAACCCAAAATCAATCCCCACCGTCCATTTTTAAAATTCCCTTGCACAGCCACTATATAAACGGACTACACTTCTTCTACTCTCCCAATAAGTTGCTTCAAGTATCATTCCTCTGTTTGGAGCTTGGCTTCTTCCATTCCACCCCTAAAATTAAACCAGCAAATTTAATTTCCCTATCAATCACCAACTTACTTTCTTGGCATCAATGGCTCTCATGCAAATCTCCAAGAAGGTTAGCCCTCGTTTTGTTCATAAATTCCTCATCATTATTATTATTATTATTATTATTGTTGTTGTTCTTGTTGTTATTTTATCATTATTATTATTGTTGTTGTTGTTGTTGTTGTTATTATTATTATTATTATTATCAAACGAACAAGATTATGTGGTGTTGATAGATACAAATTTTTTTTATACTCTAACACGTTCCTTTACAGGTATATACACAATTTGTTTTTGCTTGGACCTTGTACGTACCTGAAAATTACTACTCCCTCCGTTTCTTAAAACGATTCTTGTTTTGATTTTGGAGAAAAATAAGGAAAGTGTACTTTTAGTTGACTTTCCAATTTTGCCCCTGATGTGATGGGTAAAAGTAAGATGTGATAGTTTAGTTATTAGTGAAAAAAGTATGATGTGATAGGCAGTGTATGAAAAAGTAGAGGTAAAAGTAGTTTTTTAATAGAAAAAGAAAGTGTTTTAAGGAAAACAAAAAAATGAAAGAGAAATGATTTTAAGAAACGGAGGGAGTATATCTCTGTCTCAAAGTGTTTCTAATAGGATGATCTTTGATTATCAATTAAATAAAAATTACATTACATATTAGTACTAAAATCATTTAGTTCGATTTATTTGGTAAAATACTTTCACAAATTTGTTTTATTTTTTTAAATAATTTCAATGTGACATTTTTCTAATTGATAATAAAAATTTATCGATCTAGTTTGACTGTAAAAATCAAACTGAATAAATATACTAAAACGAAAATAGTATTTCCAAGAGCTTTTAGATGACGGTGAGTTAACCAAAAATTCAAACTTATAAGTGAAAGTTCAAAAATGTTTTTATATATTCTAACATATACTCTCTCTGTCTTAATTTTGAATACAAATTGGAAATTACGAGATAAAACATCAGACTTTTGAAATGATTTTATTTATGAATTGGTACATCAATAAAAACAAAAATTATATATGTATCTCCCCCGTCCCACAAATCCTTTCTCTTTTTTTTTCATTCATCTCAAAAAGTTTTCTCATTTCTATAAAAAAAGTCACTTTTATCATACAAATTCTTAACCTACCTATTAAATTACATCTACTCACTATTAATCTACCCGTCACATCCTACTTTATCATCACATCCAAGGGCAGTTTTGCAATGTCAACACGAAAGGTTCTGTAAGACCAGGGAAGTATTGATAAAAAAAATCACGTTATAAGTTCTACAAAATACTCCTTCCGTCCCTAAATAAACTTCCTCTTTCGTTTTTTCTTTATCCCCAAAATAAACTTCTCTTTTCTCTTAAAAAACCCCTTTTACCCCTTATTTTTTCATACCCTACCCATCACAGCATACTTTTTTACTAATAATCTACATATCACATTTTACTTTTATACATCACATCAAGGGTATTTTTGGAAAGTCAACACAAAAATATTCCTCCCTTAATTCTTCAAAAGATCAAAATTAGGGACGAAAGGAGTAATAGGTAACAAAAATCAGTAGCCCATAGCTGCTTTTTAAGATAAAATTAGTTGTCTGCTGCAAAAATCTAAGATAAAATTCTATGTATGCTTAGTATATATACTGTGGAGTAGCCCATAGCTGTTATTTTTAAGGTACTGCAGTGAACTGTCAGTTACTTGGCATATGAAACAAAAAACCAACTTATATGTTTGTACAAGTTTCAAGGTTGTTGAGAGGCACGTTTGTCAGTGCTTTTTTATTCTTGTTGGACTAATTTAATTAATCAACTCATTTTTGTTAAACACACGCACTTAAATATTAGGAGGCAGTGTTTACTGGTGATGATCAAGTAGGAGAGAGGACCAGGGACGGAACTGTGGACATGCATGGCCGGCCGGCTATCGGGGACCGGACCGGCAAGTGGGTCGCCGGAATGATTATTCTCTGTAAGTCTAATTAATAAGTACTCCCTCATTCACTCCCTCGCCTCACTACCAATTTTATCTTCCCCGTTGGGCTCTACAAAAAATGTGCTTATTTAGTACTCGAGCCTAATATTATTTAATTGATTCGATAAATAAGAAAGTTCAATAACTATTTTGAGTCGGACTAAAAAATTAAAATATATATAATCAAATAATTCAGGCTGTTAGAATATATAAAAAATATGTTCTGTCTTCTGTGTCACAATCGCAAGTTTGAGCTTTTGGTTAGTTGATTCATTGACATCGTATAGTAGTCTTGTTCACTAAGAGGTCACGCATTCGAAACTCAGCGCCACCCAGTTTTAAAAAAGTAAAATTTCACGTGCAGTGCTTGAAAAAAACTACGCCTGCACGTAAGGGGGCGTCTTAGAATATAAAGAAGAGTGGTGATTCCGTGCTTGCAAAAATTATTGGGCTTGAACTAATGTGGAAAAAGACATATTTCACCTAAGCTAAATGTGCCTATTGCCAATCCTAATCTTAATTCCCTAATCTAAATCCTAATCCCAAAATTAAAATCTTAGTCCTCATTCTAGTCCTAATCCTATTGTAATCCCAAACTTAATTTAATCCTAATTCTAATACTAATACAAGTACTCCGTAATAAGTATCACTACTTCGTGTTTCTTTTTTTCTTTCACTAGAAAAGTAGTCTCTCCGTCCCAGAAAACCTTTTTTCTTTTCTTTTTCATCTGTCTCAAAAAACTTTTATTATTTTTATTAAAAAGTGACATTTACCCATACTAATTCTTATTTTACCTATTACATTACATTTATTCACTATTAATGTACTCATCAAATTCTATTATTACTCAATACATCCAAAGATATTTTTGGAATTGAAATTAATATAAACCTCAAAATCCACTCCACTTAAATATTTTTGGAGTAACAGTGTATACAACCTGATATCAAAGTGTGCTTATATATGTGCTCCCATTTTAACTACCGTTTCAAGTTTCAACTCATGATATGCCATTCTGGTTATCTAAAATTGTTTATTAATATGGAATATACCACAGAGTTTTCCAAATTATTCTGCTTGCCCCATATGTTAATTATCCGTCCCCAGTATTTCAAATTTAATGTATTTCCTCCCGTCCTAAAAACGTGTGACTTATTGATTTTTAAAATATTTAAAAAAAGTGTATTTTGTTGTTAAATTTTTTAAAAAAAGTTCTTTGATGTGATAAGTAAAAGTAGGATTTGAGGAATATATTATTTAAATAAGATATGATATACGTAGTGATAGGTAGAGTATGAAAAAGTAAGAGTAAAAGTGACTTTTTAATAGAATTAAGAAATATATTTGGGACGAATGAAAAAAGAAAGGAGAAAGATTTTCAGGAACGGACGTTTGTAGTACCAAAAAAAAAAAAAATATTTTAGTGAAAATAATTTATCAAATTTAATTAAAAAGAGTTACTTCTTCCGTTCTACAAAACATTTCTTGTTTTAATTTTAAGAGATTTAAGAAGAATGTATGTACCAACACTTTGTGTCCGTGTAAATTTTTGTTAACGCACCAACACTTGTGTCGTTGTAAATCATCAAAATGTTTGTATATAATTGCGGTGTATAAATGGGTACAATTTTTGGTGTAAGTATAGCATGACCCAAATTTGTTATAGAAATCATCCTAAATAGGATTAAAACATAGAGAAAAGTACCAAAATAAGACTTTCATGTTTTTTTTCCAGAATAGGACTTTGAACTGTGGTAATGTGACTTTGCATTGTGGTAATGTGGCAGTGTACATGTGCATATTACTACACTTTTTTGGTAATATATATGACCATGTTTTGTAATGTAAGTCCTATTTCGGGAATAAAAACATGGATTTAGGGAGAAGGGCATGCAGGTTGGGGAACATATGCCTGACACGTACTCTTTTCCCAGTTTAACGTGAGGCAATTTAGGTCGCCACATCATCCATGACAGCTTTCTTTTTCTATAGGACTCGAGCGGCACCGTTTTAAATCCATCTCTATTCTGTGCCACAAATATTTTTTCACCAACAAATTAAAAATTTATCCCCATCCCAAAAAGTTCCACTCTGTTAAAAAAAAACTTTTCTTATTTTGAATTTTTTATTCAAAAAATGACATTTTTTATTATAAATTATAAAAAAAATATTTAATTATAATCTAAATTTAATATAATTGGGTTTATATAATTTTGACAAATCATATTTTTATATTATCTATTTATTTAGATTATGTTCTATTTGTGATCAAAGAGTGTCACTGTTTCACAAAATAATCTAAACAAGGATTCGAAAAGAGTAATAAAGTTAATAGTAGTAATAATAAATATTCCATTCGTACAAAAAAACTTTTTATTTTTTTCCTTTTTTCCACTGTCTTAAAATATTGTTTTTCATTTTAAAAAATGAAATGAGTGGATCGTATTAATTCTCCTCCTTATGAATGAATTTCACTTGAGAGAACTTAATTTTTCTTAATCTCTAAATCTTATTTTAGAAGATACTCCCTCCGTCCCAGAAAACCTTTCTCTTTTCTTTTTTCATACGTCTCAAAAAACACTTCTCATTTCTATTAAAAAGTCACTTTTACCCCTTACTTTTTCATACACTATCTATCACATCATACCTTTTTACTAATAATCTATCCATCAAATCATACTTTTACCTATCACATCAAAGGACATTTTTAGAAATTCAACACCAAAATACACTCTTCTTAAATCTTTCTCCAAAACCAAAATTCCCATGTTTTCCGGGACGGGGGAGTATTAAAAATAATCAAAGGGAAAATATGGGGTGATTTTATTATTATTATTATTTTGAAAATGTAGAAGTGAATAATTCCTTGTGTTTTCTTGAAGAAAGAAAGAATAACCTATTTTGATACGAACAGAATAAAAAATAGGACAGCCTTTACATGGGAGAGAGAGTGAAGTTGTGTACTATATCCACCGACTAACCTGACTTGGATGCAGGCTGTGTCTTTTAAAACGCCCAGGTTCAACTGCATTAGAAATTTAGAATAAAAAATGTTCGGACCGCATTTGTAGCTCAACTGGTTCGAGGAGAAGAAGTAAAGCCCGCTAATCATAAGAATTGAATTTCGGGAAAAGCAATGCGGGAGTTCTATATATATATTAGGTGTAATAGTTCCTTGTGCGCACCAAGAACGGAAAGACCTCTTTAAGAATCAGATTGATATTATACCATGATTTACCCCTCATAATCTTGTCGGGTCAGAGTGTGGGGTGCCCGGGTGGGCTTTTCACCTTTTTTAGAATAAAAATGTTCGAGAAATCTGGACTTTATTGCGCCATCTTGAGATGTTTATTACACCACTTTGAGCACACATAATATTCACAGAGACCATGCTACATTTACACCAAAAATTGTACCCCATTTATACACTACAGTTATACACAAACATTTTGATAGTTTACACCAACTCAAGTGTTGGTGCGTTAACAAAAATTTACACAAAGTGTTGGTGCGTTAACAAAAATTAGTTTTACACCAACACAAAATGTTGGTGCAAACCTGCAGGGTACAAAGTGGGGTACAAAAGGTTGGGGTACAAGTAGTTTTATCCTATTCACAGACAATTTAGCACAAACAATTTAGGACCATGCTAGGGTTTCACATGGGTGCTACCATGGATGCACCCATGATTCGCACAGACAAACACATACGATAATTGTCTGTGCGACACAGACAATTATCATCCGTGTTTGTCTGTGCGAAGCATGAGTGCACCCATGATAGCACCCATGTGATGGCACCCTAACATTTTCCAACAATTTATTGTTTTTGTATGTAAGGAACAGAGTGTCATAGCTTTGTCAAGAACTTAAAATTCCTCTAGCACAACTCTTTATAGAATTGGTTGACACCCAATCGATTTGTTAAGGGTCAAATAATTTTAGTACCTCCGACACTTTAGAAAATTCGTACCAATACATCCTCTGTTTTCAAAATTTATTACATACTAAAGTCTTGGTGATTTCAAAATGTTGCACCCGACCACACTCCTCTGATCATATTCCGATCATTTTCCGGCGAAGGAGAGACATGAGTGCCTATTTTCTAAACCATAAGGGGTACTCGTGCTCATTTCTTACTTTTTTGCTTATTATTTTGTTTTTCCCTTTTTAAATTTTTTATCACTTTGTTTCCTTTTCTTATACTTTTTTTACATGAGCGCTCATTTTCTAACCATAGGTGGCATTCATGCTCGTTTCTTTTTTCGCTTATTATTTAGTTTTTCCCCTTTTTTTAACTCTTTTTTATCACTTTGTTTTCTTTTTTATACAAGTTGATAATAATTGGTCTTCTTGAATAATAAAGAATACATCCTTATTTATAGGGAATAAATGAGAAAGTTCTAATCCACGTAAAAAAATAATATTGTAACAAATTAAATACAAGGAAATAGAGAAATAAGGAAAGGAATTAATTAATAACATTCTATTTTCTAATATCCCCCGCAAGCTGATCAGCGAAGACGAGGGGCAGTTTGGAGCATAAGTACTCGAATGGAATGGGCGAAAGCGGTTTCATGAGAATGTCTGCTAATTGCATTGAAGAGGGAACATGTTGTGTAGTCATAGTGCCTGCCATTACTTCATGACAGTCTCAACAAACATGTTTCATACGATCATGGAGAATTGGATTTTTGGTGACACATATAGTCAACTCATCGTCACAGTATAAGCATGGTTTTGATGAAGGAATGCCCAACACATCAATAATATAACATACCACATAGTTGTAGTCACGCATGCAGCTATAGCGCGATACTCAGCTTTAGTGGACGATTTAAAAACACGGGTCTGTTTTTTTGTACACCAAGAGATGATATTGGGACCAAGAAAGAGGATGTAACTCGTAGTAGACTTGCGATCATCTTTATCTTTTGCCCATTAGAATCAGAGTAAATAGATAGATCGAATCACCCCTTGCAAAAAAGAAGACCAAG